CATCTTAACAGACTTTAGTATTCTTCTTTTAAATTTATTTTTTCTATAAAAACAAACTCGTATCTGCATATTTAAGCGAATCTTTTAAAACTTTATACCAATCGTATTCCTGGTACTATATTTTATCTATGATGCTAGCAAAACATAATCATTGATTTAAAATATTATAGGTTTCTATTTATTTGTTTCTTTTATTTATACTTTATTATACACACTAATAAATTATATAGAAACATGACAGTGGAAAGTGACAAATATACAAAAGCGAGCATAACTCTACAAGAGTCCACTTCCAGCATACCCAAAATGGAAAGGAGCATCAACACAATCAATTGTAGCGTACATTTAGAACTTTACCATTTACTATTTGACATCTTACTTACTTAATCTAATTATTAGATTCCACAATAATAGAGCCTTTATGAAATATGTACGTATTTTAAGAGACTTCATCTGTATCTTTACCTACTATTTGGAGCTTCCTAAACATATACCACTTGGTTGGAGTTGTTAAATATATATTTATTTTACTAGATATCCAAACTTAACATCTATAATGTGTCTATAGTAATCAAAATATCCCGAATTTGGACTTTCGAATATATGACTGATTCAAAACCGCCAATCTGCTCCTTTCTGAGTGTAAACCTTCTTAGCTAAGACAGAAATAAGGTATCCAGAATCAGCATGGAAGTGTGAGATTTTTATAAAAAAAGACAAAGCAAGAGGTGTGTGAAGAAAGAATAAAGACCTGCTCTCGGTTCTGGAAGGAGACCAGAATGAAAATATAGAAATAGATCAAAATCGACGTGCATTCATTAACACTAAGTTATAAACGATAAACAAACCATAAGATTAAGTGTGTAAAAGCCAAACTGAAAGCCTGAAACTCATATCTACACCATAAGAAAATTTGAAACAATAATTTAAAATGTATATTTTATTTGTGACAAATAGGATTTTACTGTCCTAATTGTAGCGCTGAATGGGACTAACTGTTTTCTTCGAGATTATTGTATAGTTATTTGGCATTTATCCATTGAGATTGAAATACTGGGGTAATATCATAAAAGAACACATAAAATAGACAAAGAATTGTAGTGTAGTATTTATTGAAACACTTTCAGTGTCATATCATGACACTTTGTTGAAACGCAAAATTCTACTTTCATATTATATTTGAATTTATTGCAACTTTTATTACTAATTATGACAGAGACGAAATTTACTTATTATTTAAGATTTGATCGTATCTAAAACTTGAGTTGCCATAGGAAATATAGCCAATTATCAGGGTAAGTCTAGTTTTGTGAGATAAATTCTTAGGCATGGGCACAGATTTACAATTTTAAATAATTAATAAAATAAAATTGTGTTCAATAATAAGAGAAATTTTATCAATATGTTTGACTTCATTAATACAAATACATATTTATAGAGAGAATTACATTGCGCGGAGTAAATAAATATTATTAAATATTTGTGCAGTTGAAGCAATGTGTTCAATGGAGATTGTTTAATGTAATTCCTTCGTTCATTATTTAGCATCGCAGCGAACATGATCCCTAGGGATCCTACCTCCATAAATGGACACTCGAATGGTCGCACTAAGTACGATTTTTGAAAATCTTTTGCGAACACTACATTTATGATGATAATCTCTTTTCGAATGTTTCACTGAAAGACCATAGAGGTTTTTACAATGTATACAAACAGTTTCAAATTATCAATATAAGATTATCAAGTAGCTTTGATTTTGCAGCCATATAAACTATAAAAAATCGCTTGCCATAGCATAATTTCTGTGCTTGTTTACTATTTACCTACTGTTATTTTTTTTTATTATTATTAAGTACTTTATGCGACTTGGAATGGAAAATAAGCATAAAATCTCATCCGATTGAAAAAGATAACCGTCACCTATAGGCAGAAACCATATCCCGCCATTCAAACCAAAAAAACACTGCCATAAGTATAGCTGCTTGGCAGCAGAAACTCGAGTGGGACAGTACTATCCTTGCAGACGACGTATTTCCGATTGCTGACTTAGAATATTCCATATATTCGTGACAACTATTTAGCAATACAGCTCACACATTTTTTATCAATAGACGAAAATGGAACAGCAACTGTGCCTGCGCTATCGGTGTACGCTGAAGAAGTATCAGTGAAGGTTGACAGATAAGAATGAAATCAGGTCAGGTGGCCCATCGTGGCGAATTTATCATGAAGTTACTAAGATGGTTTCCTTGGAGGGCTGTATGAAAGTGAATTTAGCGAATTATAGTAATAAATTATGAGTAATAATGTGATTGTTGCACCACACTTCTATTACCAACCTCTCCAACTCAGAGATTTAGACTTTCAATATATCGTAATGCTTAGTTCAAGTTCCTTATTACCTAAAGTCACAGAATCTCTTATAATTTTCATTACAACCACTGTATTGGCATGCAGCGTTTTCACTTTGTAAAATATGTACCATACATTTGTTTGAAATCCATCAACTCTATGCACGTTTTCTCTTGTCAGCATAGGTTTTATTTTTCAATGTTAATTGAAGCATTCGTCTATATTACACATATCGACTACGTTTCAGAATATTTACATATTTATAGTAAAATCCTAAGGATAAATCCTAATTTAGATTTGTATCGGAGCTGAACTGTATTATGAAATATGATAAATTCACGCGTGTTTATGATATAGGTACATATAAACATTTAACAATACCAATAATGTACAAAATAGACAAGACAACGGCAAATTACATCTTATATAAAGAACAAGTAAATTGATACTGGACCTTGATTACTGTCTCTTGATGAGAGTTATTTAAGAAAAGTTAGTATAAAGGCTCTTAAAAGACTAATAAATGTCATCCCAGTAATTTTAGAAATTTTGATTTTCTGTCTATTTGTCTGTTTGTTTCGGCATCACGCAAAAATTACTACACCAAATTATGTATTGTTTCGCAGTTGTACCCCTGAAAGTCTCGTTTAAAATCTACTGTTTATTTTGATACACCATCTAGAAATAGTATATTGAGATGAACACCACTATTGCAACTATTATTTCATTGGTTTTCCATCTTCTGAAGTCCACTCATACAAAGTAGCGGGATAAAAGCTACTAAGCAATAACTTAAAAGACACAAGTGACTATTTTTAATTTTAAAAAGATGCATATTAATATTTATTTCAGTTTTACAAAAAATCTATAGTTCATCTTGTTGTAAGTTTCGTTGTAATACATCACCTAAAACGAGTCTAGAATACAGCTGAGCTCTCTTACACTAAGAAATGCCTATAAATTGAGTTCAACTTATACCATTTTAGTCGCTTTAACAATCGACATTTACATATATTCTTATACCTTCTTCGTGGTATCTCAGAATATGAAATTGAACAACTTTTTATCATGGCTACGGAACCCTATTCACGCGTGTCCGACACGCTCTTGGCCGGTTATTTTTTTTATTAATTTGATGAATGTAGTAATTGTATAGTAGAAGTAGCAAAAGTAGCAAAACAAATAAGAAACTTCTGTGTTGAATTGTATTTTATTATATACAATTCAAACAGCTGTATAATATTATATTATATACTAATAGGTTATTTATCTGATTTGAAATAGTTTCTCACTTTAATAGACATTTATACAAAGTGCAATGTACAAGCAAAACCGTCGCTTTAATAATGTAAAGATGGAATATATTCGATATTATTGACTTTAGTAAAATTGTGCTTCTTTGTTTAATTTACTTAATTACTATGAATACATTTTCAAAAATTTAAACAGTTCTACAATTCGAAAGATATTGAATAAACACTATATTTTTATTTTTGATTGGTTTTAACTATATTAAAATATGAAGGTGTGAAAACAACAATTTGTAACAATCTGTAATTTATTATTAAAACTGGCTCGTTTTGAACTTGCATCGATACAAGACTGAACTGCCCGTCACTATTTATTAACCGAAATAATTCACGATAAATGTGAAAACAATGTATTTTTTATATCGAGGCGAACCATTGAAAATGCCTGACTATAATAGGCATACAGGTGGCAACACACATTTTGCAAATGAAAACGTGTCGGTCGGCGCGAGACGAGCGCGTGGCTCTCCTTTGATTTTCTCAAAGAGCGCGTCACGAAACACCTGCGCATACAGGGCTGCCCGCGCCGCTTGCGCAGCTGCCCCGACGTCATCACGTAATTCAATTATTGTAATCGATTAATTGCAAACTGTCTACCTGGCGCCCCGGTTCCGAGGTTTCTGGAGCACCGAACGGGGGCTCAGTGTGGACAAACATAGCACTCACAGCCGCCAAACTCCACGCAGTAACTAGAACGTGGCCATCCTTGAACACCTTCGCACTTACCAGTTCGAACCGCACCGTTTATTTATGCATGTCTGTAGCGTACAAGGTTTTAGTTACTTAGATGGTCTCATTTATGGAACAACGGTGAAATTATCTATTATTACGCAGTTCCGATTTTCCCAGTGTATTTTGCTGAATTAATCTTCTAATCGAACATTTATTACAATCAGGTTGCAATATCAAAGATCAGCCAATGTCGAAACTGTTCATTAAATTCTTTAATTTAATCGATTTTCATGCGCCAATCCATTGCCATAATTTACATGAGGCCTTCCAAAACTTTTTTTTTCTCACTATAGTATATAAGAAACTATAATGCACTATTTCATGTTCTATCCACATTTTTGTTTATAGATAAATCTGTCAGAGGAGTTTTTAAAAGAGATTAAGTACCATAGGAATCACAGTGTATTCTGTAACATCTATGATTAATAATCATGTCTATAGGTAATCATCATAGCTTTCCATGAATAGATTGCCAGCTTGTTTGCCATACTAAATTGCATGAAAAAGTTTCAGTTAGCGTTTTATTTTTATATACATAAAGAATATGTTACGTATTATATTAATATTATATAACATTGTTAATTATTTACTCTCCTTTTGTTTCAGGCAATAACAATTTAACAATGCTGTCTAAGTAAGTGTAAACCGTATGTAATTTTTACGAGTAGATATATTATGTAATATGGGGGGTTTAATGTAACTGTTAGTTATTAAAGGTAAACAAGTTAATATAACTTTTTATAAAGACCTAATTGTTATTAATGTCGCATTTGAAATCCACATGAAAGGGTTAACTTTCGTGTTAGTTTGATTCTAACATAAGATCTAATCCTGTAAGTAACAAAAGGAACCATGAAAATCAGTCAAATTAAAGATCTGTTTTTATGTCGGTTAAAAATTACATTGTTTAATAAGACAAACACTGCTCACAATTTCAATAGGCACCTATCTACTCAACAGTTTAAGTTCAGTTGCGTGTTTTAACCCTACTTTATATAGATACTGCTATGCCGTGAAGCGTGAAGCTCTCGGCGGAAACACGAAGCTGTCAACATAAAATTATAATATTGGTTATCCACAATAGTACATTTTAAATATAATTAGGTACTACTCGCATATACTAACAAGGGACATTTTTTGTTCTATTATCGTCATGATCATATCAGCCTTTAACTGTCCACTGCTGAACATAAGCCTCCCTCTTGGGGGATTTTGCCAATAGCTGCCACGTTTGGCAAGTGGATTGGCAACCGCAATCAGGCTTTTTTTAACGGGTGAAAATGACCTGCGCTATTGGTATACACTAACGGGGTACCAGTGAGAGATGATAGGTGAGGATGAAAAGGCAGTACAGTTAGCCCATCATCGTGACGAACTCTACGAAAAATTGGTCACAGTAGTGTCCAGAGTGAACAAGGTGGAGGTTGACCTGATAGGGTATATTGTTAACAATGGGGACTAATCCCTTATTACTAACAATCCCTTCCCATCACAGTCAGGCTTTAGAGAAATGTTTTAAAAGGTTTTAGCTAAGTGGACTTTTTTAAGTGGAACGAAATCTTAAATTATTAATATGTTAAAAATATATTAACATTTTCATAAAAAATACAAACCTATTTCAACTATTAGAGTGTTTTGTCACTGTCTTTCAAATAAAGAATTAGTGTACAAGATAGAAAAAGAAACAAAATATATCAAAAAAGTTTCACTCTCTTTTAGATATTTTTTTACGTACAATGAAATAAAATTTGCGCCCGCATGGTGGCTTAATGGATCGCTAGTTAAAAATTAATTCATTAATTAGTTTCTAATAATGTTATAAAGATTTTTTTTTAAACAGCTCCCAGAAACTGCTGGAAAAGCAACAAAAATATCTTAATAAGGCCCAGTTATTGGTTGCCTAATATTTTATACCTTACATTTTTTCTATAAATGTATAATTTATAGTTAAATTCAATATAATAATAAATTATACAACTGATAAACTAAGGTTCTTTTGAGAACCAAACGGTTGTTCTTGTATGATTGTTTTAATCTAAAGGATAAGTAGTGCAATAAGAGGGAGGGGGAGGAAAATATAATAAATATAGTAACACTTTCATTGTTGACAATACCCTATCTAGTCAAACTCTATGCGGCTCTCTTAGAAATTATAGTAGTTTGACACAGTGGGCTAACCGACCTGTTTGTATTCTCACCTATCATTCCTCACTGGTGCCCCGCCAGCATTTACCGATAGCGCAGACAGAGATACCATTCAATTTATCCTTGTTAAAAAACGCATAAGAGATACAATAGACTATGTATCTGTAATGCTTATAGTTCTGATCAAGTCTATGAGCAATAGTTACCACTTTCCAACGAGCGGGCCGATAGCTTTTGGCAAAAGAGTGGCAAATTCCAAATCGCATAATAAAATATTGCAATTTAGATAGAGCAAGTTATATTACTTATTTAGTTTATAAAAAAAAGTTGTACCTACAACTTTTTTTTATTAATTATTTTTAATATACCTATATTTCAAATAATAAATGAATCTATTGTTAGAAACGTATACCAAAAAATAACAATTCTGCAAGTTTTATAATGCGTATTTAATTTTATTAATAAAAAGTGTAATTATGCGCACCTACCCGAAATAGGTCAACGACGCGATAAGGTGCTTCAGCCGTCGCCGCTTTGACGCCATTGTTCGGTGTAACCTCGTCAAATGAAAGAACGCGGCGCTAGCGCAGCTCAGAAGCGAGCTGTATTCGTCCTATTACGTCTCATCGTTTTACTTATAATATTCTTCATTTATTCAAATTACATTCCCAAATCGAACAATTACAAAATTTTCAAACATTTTTTTATTAGTATCAACCGAAATCTGTTACCTACTCATTAAAATAATACGATCAATTGATTAAGAATGTATATATTTCCAATTAAAAAAGAAACAGTAATATGAATAAAATTGTTAGTTATAGTACTTCTATTTAAGATTTCTTTCAATTAACAAACAGTAGAAGTTAAAGAAATATTTTAACGTTCTATGTATTCTAATTCCGTTTCTAAGTACCTATATTAATTTTAAATCATTTCATTGAGGCACGTTAACTATAGACGGCATGAATAAATACGTTATCAATGTGATAAAAAATGTAGCGCATGAGAGTGAAGAAACTCATATATGGGTATACCTACCTACAGATAAATAAGTTCAGAAGTAGCAACGTAACATCACTCTATTGAGAGTATCAGAACTATTCAGAACACTCTATCTGACCCAGCACTGATTAAATGAAATTAAACATACATAATTAATCATGTGCGTAACCATTTTTTAATTACTATTGTAGGTCTTCAATAATGTATTTACCACTTCTTGTCTTGTCTATATAAATCATTTTTTTTTGTCCTTTTTGCGATGACATATTTCACACACTGTATTTATATGTAGCTCTATTATATGTAGATACTTTTTTGATTAAATTTACACAACGAAAAAGTGAAATATTTCAATCATATAATAAATTTTAAAACGACTTCAAAAAGTTTATAATATAAATTTGACTATATTTTTATGTACTTAATAAGTACATAAAAATAATTACAACATCTTCAATGTTTTGATTCTCGTATTCAGGATTGGCTCGTATCTCAATCCTTTACAAATTTACTGTCTTGTATAATTTAAGAAACCACTAACAATGATTAGAGTAATTAGTAAATAACAGGAGTACTAGAAGTTTATAATGTATTATAATACATATTAAATATATAACATATAATAATATATATGAAAATATGTATTGTAATACATATTTTCATTGGAACCAGGTGACGTGATAATTTGTTTATTAATTTTAGAAAATTTGGGTAAATTAATGAAATCAACATATACTGTAAATACTGTAATAATATATTACTGTAAATAATTTAATAGTATTTTGCAATAGAGCCCAAAGGAGACAGACAAAAAGGTAAGTATTAAAATATCTATAGTGTGATTCCGTATAATAAATAGAGTGAACATGTAAAATGGAAACAATGAAGTCCACTTCTAAATCAGATTCAGCTTTATGTCAAAAAAGTTTTAAGGATGACATTTTCGAATCAGTGCAGGAGATGAGTTTTGCTATCAATGAATAGTTTTTGTAACATTAAATCAACTGGCTTTTCAAGGACACGTTTTGTCCCTGTATAAATTGAGGCACCTACTTCATTATCGCTATTTATATCTGTCATGGTACCTCTATTAACTCTACAATAAGCATAGGGTTTCTATCGACGTTTAAACGCCAATAGGTCCTAACAAATACTGACAAAATGTTACAGAAGACACAAAAGATATCCTAATTCTGAATGTTTTCCAAATATAATAAAACTTATTTCATAATATTAAAAGTAAGAGTTCTTTCTCTATGTGACATAGAATAGAAGATGTATTCGATTTAAAAAAATATTACTATCTACAACTGTTTTATAAATGCCATTTAGGAAATATTGGTGGTTAAACAGATAATATGTCCTATGTTTTACATTTAAGAAGTCGAGGGCGGGCAACAAGTGAAGAATATGTGACACTATTCAACAGTGGCAACGATAAGAAAGGTTAAATAACTAGCTCTCAATGACACAAATTGATTTTTTATCGTCAAATATGTGACGAAATTGCAGATGCCAGTTTCTCAACCGCCTTATCTAGAACATTAACGTCAATTCTATCTTTTGGTTATAAAAATCACTTCCGGTCCAATTACAACAGTAAAGCATAACAAACTGCATCAGTTTGAAGTATCTGAAGAACATATTAAATCTGTCAATCCCATATTTTTCAGGAATATTTACAATAATAATTGTATCTTCCATAGTTATCTACGATATCTTCTTTTAGGAGAACCATAAAGAATTTTCATTTATTCATTCATTCATCATTTTGAAATTTGAAGACATTTGCATATTAAAGCCAAGAGTGCATTAAAATACGAGTATTACTCCTACTATTCTTCAATTAATTAACTGTGCGGGAATTTCCTCGAAACCTATTATATTCCAGAAGATAAAATATCAAACAATGCGTCCCCACTAACAAGATATATCAACCACAAGGAAATACCATAAGCGTTAAATGTTTACATGGAATTTCCATATAAATTTAGATTTTTCCTATTGTATTAATGTTATATTGTTATTAATATGCTCGTCTAAATATATTATTATACCAATCAAGTACTTTGAAGTGAAAAACTAATTATAAGTTAGATACTTGTCAGAGACGAAATTAATTCACTTAATGACTGATTTAAAATTCCTTATCGTAAATTTCATCTCTTTTATTATATTTAGATGAAATGTATCAGTTGATTTAAAGTTGACTTTGAGATTTGAGAATGGCAATCAAGATGACGACTGGTTCAAAATAGTTTGTCTTCGCCTACAGTCATGAATTACAATATTACGATGATGATATAGCCATTAACTGTCTAATTAACTGTCTGCTGAAGATAGACCTCTCCCTTGAAGGGATTTTGCCAGTAGTTGCCACGTTAAGAAGGCAGGTTGGCAATGTAGGTAGGCTTTGGTGATGTTTTATGAGAAATTTTGCTGCTCATCCCTCGACTTTTAAGTCGCCTTTTACGACATACACGG